GCAAACAACCTACAATATCTAGGTGGCAAAAACTGGTGAGTACCCTCTGTCTGATACAGATATTTTATTTAGGGAAATAAAACCCGGATTTGCTCGAATTTGCTACGTTAAACATCTTCAAATATATTGGGGACATGTCATGCGAGGACAACACGCGAGACTGTTTGAAAAGTCACGCGATCGTCACACGTGTGTGACGCGCGAGTGTGACTTGTCACAGCGAAACTACTAGCTATAAACTCATGGGGCGAAGAGCGGGTTTCGGGAAAGCGAGGGCAGATTTTTTCTTAATTTGCTGCGCGTGTTGATCATTTGTCGATAAATTTTCCGTATCTGCTGTAGATAGTATGCGATTCTTGTATATTTTCACAGGTATCGTCCAACACCCATTTCTATGCATTCCCGGTTAAAAAACCTCCCGGATGTTACTGGCGATGTTGATTGGCAGAAATCACGCAAAACTTCAGCTGAGACACGTGACCAAGGAAGAGAAAGAAGGCAGCTCCCTGCAATTTTACAGCGTCAATTGAAATTTGTTTGAGAGGTTTCGTTCTGGGTGGGTTGTAGCATTTTAAATTGTGAAGTCAAGATGAATCTGATAGAAGAAAATATTTACCGGGCAAAAATAGCAGAGCAAGCTGAGCGTTATGAAGACATGGTAACGGCCATGAAAAAAGTAGTGGAAGAAATGGGAGATAAGGCGCTAAATCATGAGGAGAGAAATCTGCTGTCGGTTGCTTATAAGAACGTGGTCGGTGCACGGCGATCTGCGTGGCGAATTATTTCAAGCATAGAGCAGAAATCAGACAAGGATAAACCGGAAAACGAGGGAAAATACCAATTCGCCGAAGAGTACCGTAAGAAGATTGAAGATGAATTGAAAGAAATGTGTAATGAAGTTCTAGAGTTGATCGATCGTTACCTCCTTCCCAAAGAAGAAGAAGGAACTAGTACGGCGCAGTTAGAGGCGAATGTGTTTTACCTGAAGATGAAGGGCGATTACTATCGCTACCTGGTTGAGATTGAAAAAGATGAGGAGAGGGAAGCAGTTGGGGGAAAATCGAACGACGCTTACAAGTTGGCTCAGGAGAAGGCTAAAGCGGGCTTGAGTCCCACTCATCCCATACGGCTTGGCTTGGCGCTGAATTACTCGGTGTTCTACTACGAAATCCAAAACGACCCTGAGGAAGCCTGTAAGTTGGCAAAATCTGCGTTCGATGAAGCGATAGGAGAACTAGACAGTGTAGCAGAAGATACTTACAAGGACAGCACGTTGATAATGCAACTCCTTCGTGACAATTTAACACTGTGGCAGTCGGAACAGGATGATAGAGACGGAGAATGAAATCATTACAATTTGTCAGTGCAAGTCCGCTCTTTATGCCTGGAACCAAACGACTGGGTGATTATCTGTGTATACTGGACAGGAGATAATGATACAGACATATTCTTTCAAATTCTAGTCAAACGGATTTTGGACGATTTAGAAATAGTATAGGTTGTTACGTATTTACCTTTCCCTCTGTACATTGTTGGTTGAATTTCAGTTATACTTCACAAGCAGTTGAACTATGCGATGCTAAACAAGTATTTGTATTTAAATAGCTAGGCGATTCGAAACCGTCCAGAGAAATTGAAGTGTGTTTATCTGTTCCTAACGAGGGATGATACGATGTTGTGTATGGAAGTGAATTAAAGTTTGTTTACTGCGTCAACTGACTTTAGTTTTCTATTTCAGTTCAAGCTAGTGCACAAAGGAATAGATCTATCGGGAATGACCTTTGAAATCACTTTTGTGTAAACATACCACGACAATATTCCTGAACTCTGATGAAGATTGCGAAATTGTTGGCCGCAAAACTGGGTCTCAGTGTGTTGGTTTTCAATTCGTTTGTAAAGCTTCAGACATTTGGCGACTTGACATGCTTTTATATTTCCCCTTGTCGCCGTTGATGTTTAAATTTTTTACTTTAAACTAATACAGCAACACGAGTATGTAATTCCCAGCTGGGCGACTCTTTTCTAGCCAACGTTCGGAATCGCCGATCTTGGGTTTCATGGAAGGATATCACAGGGTAATCGAGACGAATACAAATTTACGACCATTTTTCACAGGAAAGTAATTGAAGATAGAAGGCGATGGCGAATCTAAACTTCTCTTCAAACCACTTGCAAGAGAAGTCCTTATTTATCGAAAATTATTCCAGTTTTGATGAAATGATCAAAGTCGTACGATTTGAATTTGCAAACTAGCCTATGTTGTAAAGAACCCTTTTTCAATATTTACTAAAAATGATTATATGATGCCACCTGGACCTCAACTGGACAATGGTGTGGTAAAATAAAAAAAAATTACTACTGGAAAATTATCTGCTCCATTGTACTACAGTGCTTAAAAGATTATTGCACAACAAGCTTGCACTTTGTTACTGTTTACTTGTTACTTTGTTTAAATTCTAGGAATTTGTTGCGTTCGCATTAATCATAAATTTGGGTAAGTTTCTCCTCGTTAGATTGAACGTTACATTCCTTAGATCTGATGGTTAATTCTCCCTTCTAGCAGCCTCACATTTTCTTGTAAATTAGTTACAAGAATTTGGAATGAAATCAAGATAACTGAGTATTCTCGTTGCCTGTTCACTGGGTAATGTAAGGTGTTATAGGGAGAAGTTACATGTTAATCACTTCTGAGAGTCAAAGCATTAACCTACAGAAGTAACCAAGGAGTAACTTGTACTTCCAATAGCACAATGGAAAGCAGAAAGTTGATGAGAATAAAGAAAACTATCAACTGACAGATATTTGATTCAACTCTTAAATGCGTTGCCTTAATATTCTTAATGTGTTGAAATTAGTGAGGAAACTAAATGCTTTCACTCCTAAGATTTAAATAAGTAATTTTCCCTACTCTCTGCGATATCATTCTATTGGTTTAGGTAGATTGTGTTTCTTCAGAAACAAGAAACAGTAGAACCCTGCTGACTCAAATCCTGAAAAACAAGCTCCAATTGGCAGGAATCTGAGTTGTTGGGATTAGTGTTGAATTTCAAGATTGGTACATGTCAATCAGTTACATTCTTACACTTTGCCATTTAATGACTGCAATTTTTAATTAACTGTTTATATTTTAACATCAATGGGCATATTCTCCATACTGTTCTCTATACATTTCTCATGACACAGACAAGGAGAATTTGTATTATCAAGAGCTTCTTGTATGGGTGGTCATTTTCTATATTCTCATAACCTTAATGTTTGAGTCAGTAGTGATAATGTGTACAGCAATTAGATGCCAGTCACTCTTAGGGGTTAAAGGGGAAAATTTTAAGTTATCAGGAAAAATTTAAGCCAAGACAAAGGAAATAACCTGTTTGAGTTAAAGGGGAGTTTGAGTTAGCTAATAATAAAGGACTATAAAAATGGGGTCAAATCCAGGGGAAATAGCATTTTATTGTAGTAAAAGGAGAGTTCAAGTAAACTGTGCTTGAATTAACAGGATTCTATTACAGCTCTGTGTAATTAGAAAGCCTCTTTTATTTAGGTGTTCCAGAGTCATCGTTTACACCTTCTCTAGTAAAGTATCTTTGAATTCCAGCACTTTTTTTCTCCTTTACAGTAACCCTCTTGGTATTCGCTGTTTCCTGGGCTGACTGTGGCCATTGAGCCTGCAACTCCTTCTGCAGCTCCAAAGGTAACTCAGCAAAAACTGCAGGGTCTATGCCGCTGGGGCAAATGATAGCTGGTTGACTCACATCCTTGGTAGCCCCATCAACGTTTATTCCCTTTGGCTGGGTATGCTGTTTAGTTATTTTAGAGCTCCTCACTGGTTTCCAGTCCTTAGTTTTGGTTGTGCCAACCTTACTTGTTCTTTGATCAGATAATTTATCTTCACAGCTCTTGGGCAAAGCTTCCCAGTCTTCTCTTTCAAAGAGATAATTTCCCTTTGATTCCAAACTATTACATGATGTGACAGATGTCAGATTTGCATGTTTGCTGCAAGACTTTTGAAAAAAGTTTGAGATTTCTTTGGCTTGACCACTAGATGGTTTGTAAAAGTTTGTTAATGAAATTCCCAGAAGACTCAGGTGAAATGGTTTATTGACATCCACAACTTTCTTAAACAATGAGACACAAACTTCGAAGAGAAGATCTCCTGCTTTTTCCTCGTCAGCAAAACAAATTGCTTGCGGTAAAGCACTCTGACGACTCTCTCTTTTATGTGACTTTTCACCTCTTCTTCGAATGGAGACTCTCACAGTTTGAGGTAATGTAGTACTGGAAGAAATTCTTGGAAGTATTCCTTTGACAAGACCCCTGAGGCGTTTTGTTGCACCCTCTAGTGTTGAACAACATTTAAAAGAGTCCTCATCTGTTATTGTTTTAAATTCTCGAGAGGGAGTAACTTTGCTCTCATCAATCCCATTGCAGAGTTTGATCATCAGATCTGCCAGTGAATGGCCAAATTCCTTTTCTAAGACTTGACTGGGACATGAAAGTAGGTCAGTAACAGATGAAATGTTAATTGTTTGAAGTTTTTTGGCCGTGCTGTGTCCAATACCTACATAAAACAAAATAAAGTGAAATCAGGTTTACATAACTGAAACAGAAATTCGCAAATGGCATTCTTTTCTGTATAAGTTGAGATTACACAGCACAACAAGTAAAATAAATTTTAAAACTGGTAGTTGAGCAATCCTTTAACCTGCTGAATTTTCAAGAATTCCAAGAGATTTTAGTAAGAGGTACTACAGGCAGTGAATTTTACTGCTGTTATCTGCTATTTTAGAGAGATCAGTGGATTGGAGTGGTAGATTTCACAGTGTGTTACTAATTCTTTCAAAGCTCTTGTTCTTGTTCTTGTTTGGTTTTTTTATCCCTGATTGGCTCTTTTCTTGAAACACAATGATATAGAGTCAACAGTAAGGAAAATTATAGGAAAAATCGATAACTAATCATACAGCAATAAAAAATGTTAAACTAGAGGAAACATAGCTTTTTTTTTCTCGTTAGCTCTGGCCACACTGAACAAATTAGCTCTTGTCTGTGACCAGCATCTAATTTCTCCTGACAAAATCACCTCTAAATCTCACATTAATGTCACGAGAATATAGGAAATGATCAACATCTAAAGAAGCTCTTGATTGTTGATCAAATTCTCCTTATCAGAACCTTAGGAAATGTAAAGAGAACAGTGTGGAGAATATGCAAGTTGATTTTAGGGTGTGAAGGGTTGATTGAAAGTAAACCCAAACTCACAGGGACATGTGAGAAAGTTGCGTTCTCCACCATAAATTCATTTCAGCCTACCAAAGTTTTTCCACCTCTTAAGGCTGGCCTGCTCCATTTAACGATCAGATCATGAACTAAAAATTTCTAGCATGTGATAGTTGATGAGGGCAAAGCATGGACTCTATCGTTCCTAGAAATTGAGACCAAATAATCTCATTGTTTGAGTATAAATTTATGAGTTGTTCAACACTTGGCAAAAAGAAAAGCTTGGATTTTCATTCCATTTTGTTTACAACTGCACCCTGTTATTTTACACACTTTATTTGCTATCTCTTTCACACTTTGCATGCTAAGATCAGTTCTCATGTTCTCCATAATGTTCTCTATACATTTCTTTAGGTGCTAATTAGGAGAATTTGTTTAGCAATCTAAAGCCTCTTTAGTTGGTGATCATTTCCTTTATTCTCATGACCTTTATGTTTGATTCAGGGGTGATATTGTGAGGAGAAATAGGATTCTAGTCACTCCTAGGGGTCCAAGGGTTAACAAAAAGATTCCAGATTGCTGTTCATCTCTTCATTATGAAATCACAGTTTTCATCAAAATGTGGTAAGAACAAAAAAGTGGCAAATGGGGTGCAGTCCAGTGTGTCACTAATGTTTTTGCCACATTTTCATGTCTTCTGCTATCTGATTCCTTTTTCTTCTATAATACCTGGGATATCCTTTGCTTTCAGTCCTGACAACAAGCTCCCTGCATCCTCTGGAAGTAATGTTGTCTGTTTGTTGGGTTTTTTCCATGCACCTACAAGTTTAGCCAGGAGTTTGTTGTGAGCAATTCCTGCACAACAAGTCAGACCAACTTCTTGCAGAATTACTTGCCTGATCTCTGCTGCAATCAGTGATCCAATTCTTAGTCTCTCGTGGCAACCACAAGGACATGCAGTAATGTCCTAGGACAGATAATAAATCCATAATTAATAGACAATCAATTGATTAAATAAATGATTTATTATAATAAAGATTAATAAAAAAATAATCGCAGACTCATCAATTACTTGATATCACATGATAATTGTTGATCAATTAGCTAAATATTTAATAAATATCAACAATCACAAGATTGATAAAATTGATAATATTGATTCACTGGGCTGAGAGAGCAAATTACATCAAATCAAGTCAGAATTAAGTAAGGGTTTCATTCTAACGGTAAAATTGATAATCACAAAAACCTAAGCCAAAGATTTTTATCAATTTTTGATACTGATTGATTAATTTGTATCGAGAATTATTTATTACAATACGTTTTATGGAGTTTTGCAATTATCGCTTTGTAACGTCCCGTTTTAGGCGCAGATCTTCAAACACCTCACAACTTTGCTGCTCATTCTTTTCCAGAACTGGCTCTTAAGACTCGCTCAAAAAAGCTCACGATGCATGCAATGGTACAGTTTAATAGTCAAACCTTATCTTTGCAATTTTCAACCCTGCTTGCGTACAAACCCCCGACATATTCCCTCCTTCCAGACGGCAAAGCCAACTCGCGTGATTTCACAAGTTCAGTCACATCCAAAAAGTTCTCATCCATCCCTAATCTTTCTACCAGGGGTGTGAACCTCTCTGACAGCAAGGAGTGGACCCGTCCAGAAAACTCCCTGTAATTAGTCAAATCTTCCCCGTTAACTAAAACCAGATCAGGACATGTCTTTTTGGCATCGCTGATGTAAACAAGTTTTTTCACCCCTCTTTCCCTAGCGACATAATTGCAAGTGACCACGATATGTTTCTGTTGAATTCCTAGGGGTACGTCTCTCAGTTCAGGTCGCCGGATCATCTCGACTTGCGCGTAAAAACAGTCGATGTCAACATGAACAATGGTTCTACTGTGACCCAAACAAGACTCAAACTGGGTTGAATGCTTCCTTGTGGAAGACTGCCCATTTTGATGAGTTTGTGTAGAGCTAGAGTCGTCCATTCGGCGTCTTTTCGCCGGAAAAATCACAGACTGTCTGCTATGACTACTGACATGGGGTCGGGAAGAGAAGTCTTCATCGCCCTCTTCATCGTCAGTAGGTACACCTCCTTCGTAGGAATAGTCATAAGATGACCGAAAATCTTCCCTACTTGCATTATAATCCATCACTGCAAAGGTGCATAACCCTTGAGAAACTACCACAAGATTAAGGATGACTGGCTTTAACCTTCCCGCTCCAAGAGCACATGAAGGCTTAGACACCAAGCCTTCACCTTGATAAACTGCTTCGGGAAATCCCTTGGAAAGTTCAAGGGACGGGCTGTCCGAACACGGCGGACACACGTCAGGTATGCCCAAGCAGATCCCTTTTGGCTGTGTATTTCAGAATCAAAT